CATTCCTGAGGTTACAGATTTATTTTCCAGGGAGTTGATAAAGCCAGAGGACTTGTTGCTGCTTGTTTTATAATTCGGACTCTGTTACAATGTCTCAGTGTTCCCTTCTTGTCACAACTCCTAGTACTCAGCAGATTTATTTCTATATTTTTTTGCTTCTGTATACATTCTTATTACATATTTTTTGACTTCAAAGAATGATATCTTTAGACTGTTTCAGAGCCAATGATGATGTTTGCTTTAGAAATTATTACATTATTCTAAAAATAACCATATTATTTTGAATTTAAATAAATTTATATGCTGATAATATCTTCTTGGAGTTTTTGTTTCTTCTTTAAAAAAAAAAAAAGGCTGGCTTTACAGACTAATGGGGAAAGGAAGGTAAGAATGAGGAAGGAACGGAGGGTGAAGGGAACATCTTGGACAGCAGCAGGCCAACCTCCTGCTGCTCTGCCTGAATCCTTTGTTGTCATTGGTTTGAATTTTTTTTTCCTGTATCAAGAAGCTGTAGAAATTCAGCCTGCCTTAAGTGTAACATGCACGCCCCATTATGGAGAACAGTCCCCACTTTTCCTATCTCAGCCCCGAGAAACATTCCAGGTGATAGACCTAGATATCAAATTGGCAAAAGTATTACTACTTCCATCGTTTTCCTGGTGATAAAAAGTTCCAGGCACTACTATAAGTCCTAGGGATACAGTGATGAACAAGACAGAATTCCTGCTCTTATGGACCATAAATCCTGGTGTGTGCATCTTCTAATAAACAAGAAGTAAATGTTTATATTTCAGGTGATAATAAGGACAAAATGAATAATAAAACAGGATAAAGGGCATGGATAAGAAGTGCCAGGTGTATTTGTTAGGGTGGTAAGCAAAGCTCTTTCTGATAAGTTGGCATTTGAGCAGAAATAAGAAGTCAGGGAGCTGGGCATGGTGGCACATACCTCTAATCATAACTACTTGAGAGACTGAGGCAGGCGGATCTGAAGTTCAAAGTCAGGATGGGCAATTTAGAATGTCCCTGTCAAAAAATTTAAAAAAGGAATGGAGGTATAGCTCAGTGGTAGAGTGCTTGCCTAGCATCTGTGAGGCGCTTGATCCCCAGCACCACCAAAAGAAAGAAGTCAGAGAGCAAGCCATGCAGGTATCTGAAAAAGAATATTCCAGGCAAAGTACAAAAGCTAACAAAGTACAGAAGCTAAGAAGCAAGATAATGCTGGACATGAGGAATAACAAGGGGCCTGTGAGGGAAGTGACTCAGTAAGATATTGGCTTTTATTCTGATACATTGAGATGAGTAGTTTATCGGTTAGCTTTTGCTGGGTGACAAACCACCCCAATATTTAGTGGCTCAAACAACACATTTATTATTTTTTGAAGATCCTCTAGGTTTGCTTTCATATTCTGGAGCAGGTTAATTCATCTGGAACTGAAGGGTCTCATTCTGCTGGACAGCTGGAATGGTTGGGACTTCTCTCCACATGGTCACTTACCCCAGCAAGAAGACAGCCTGAGTTTGTTCACATGGTGGCATTCCCTGCAGCAACATAGGACAAGCCACAATGAACAAGCACTTTTCAATTCTTGGCTTGCCTTGTATTTGTACTGTCCTGTTGGCTAAAGTAAGTCACACAGCCAAGCCCTGAGTTAGCATAGGAAGTGAGCATGTGGACACAGGGAGGCATGATGGCAGCCATTCTGGAAACAACCTATGTGGGTGGAGGGTTTTGTTCAGAACAATGATCTGGTCTACTTTTTAAAAGAATCCCACTGGATGCTACATGGAGAATAGTTGACAGGAGCACAAAGGGAAACAAAGGGTCCAGTTAGGGGGTGAGTATAACAATCCAAATGAGAGAGAATGGTAATTGGGACCAAAGTATTATAACAGGGAGCAAGAAGCCATCAGAACTCTGGTGTACTAGCACACACCTGTGATACTAGCTACTCAGAAGGCTGAGGCAGGAGGATCACAGGTTTGAGGTCAGCCTCAGCAACTTAGCAAGACCCTATGTCAAAATAAAAACAGAAAGAACCAGGGGTAGCTTGGCATGGTGGCACATGCCTGTAATCTCAGCCACTGAAGAGGCTGAGACAGAAGGATCTCAAGTTAAAGGCCAGTGAGCAATTTAGCAGGGCCCTAGGCAACTAAGTGAGACCTGTCTCTAAATAAAGAAAAAGGGTGGGAGATATGGATTAGTGGTTAAGAACCCTGGGCTCAATCCCCAGCACCAAAAAAGGAAAGAAAAGACCAGGGGTATAGCTTCAGTGGTAAAGCACCCTTGGGTTCCACCCCTAGTCTGAAAAGCCAACACCCCCCCCCCAAAAAAAAGTACTCAGATTCTAAACATAAAAGATAGAACCACTGACTAACAAATGGGGCCAGGGAGAAAGGGAAGAGTCAAGGATGACACACACCACGGTTAGTGGCTAAGAAATTGGAAGAAAGGAGTTGTCATTATGGGAGGAACATTTGGGGAGGATTGTAGAAAACACACGAGTTTACCCGAGATGTTCAATAGACACCTAAGAGAAGAATTAAGTTTCCAGGAACCAAGCCCTGCGGCATTCAAACTTTTAATAGTTGAGAAAATAAGGTAGAACAAGCAAATGCAACTGAGGGTGACCAGTAAAATAGAGGGGCAGGGGCTGGGAATATGGGAGCATTGTCCTGAAAGCCAAATGAAAACTGTTTTAAGGAGGCAATGATGGTTTCAAAAGCCATTGATGAGTAATACTAAGGCTGAACACTGATCATTTGAATTTGGCAAATGAGAGGTCATTGGTAAGTTTTTGAAAAGTCTTGGAAATGAGGGTGATTGAGAATGACAGGATGGGAAGAGAGGAATTGGAAATGATAGGTTTAGAGACAACTCTTCAGGAGTTGGATGCAAAAGAGAATAAGGATAGAGACTGGGGTGTCGCTCAGTGGTAGAGTGCTGGCCTAGCACGTGTGAGGCACTGGGTTCATCGGCACTGCATAAAAATAAAAGTATAAAAACAGGAAATAGGGACCAAGGAAAGTTTTAGTGTATATATATATATATATATATATATATATATATTAGATGGAAAATATTTCAGGATTATACTGTTAGGAGAGGAATGGTCTAATAAAGAAAGAAAAGCAATGATAATGAGAGACGACACCTGCTATGTGATATCTCAAGTTGTTGAGAGGGGAGGGGTATAAGCGTGGTGGCTGGATCTCTTAATAAAATTAAAAAGCCAGCAAAAACAGATTACATGTCAGACCGTGAGCATCCTGCATGAAGTATAGAATTGTAATTAATTATACAGCTTTTAACATAGAACAATGAATATTCATTCTGGAAAGGAATTTAGTGACCTCTAAGTGTGATCTTGTGCAAGTCACCCTCCTTTCACCGTTCATTTTCTCATCCATAAAATTGTCATAAACCATGTAACCTAACATGAAGTGCTTGCTTAGAAACTTGAAAGTCCAACAGATATCAGATAACAGACAGTCACAAGTGCTGGTGGGCATGTGGCAAAATTGGAACCCTTAGATGGTGTTTCTGAAAAGTAGTTTGGTGGCTTCTCAAGTGGTTAAACATTAGAGTTGACAAGTGATCCAATACTTCTGTCCCATGTGTGTACTCGCAAAATGAAAACATATATCCACACACAAAAATGTAATCAAGTAATCATAGAAGCATCATTCATAACAGATGACAAATGGAAACAATCCCATATATCTTACAACTTACAATTAGATGAACTATGGTATAACCATGCAGTGAAAGATTATTTGGCTATAAAAAGAAAGTGCTGCCAAAATTTAACTCAAAATGGATCAAGGACCTAGGGATTACACCAGAGACTCTGTGTCTAATAGAAGAAAAAGTAGTTCCTAATCTTCATCATGTGGGATTAGGCCCCAACTTCCTTAATAGGACTCCTATAGCAAAAGAATTAAAACCAAGAATCAATAAATGAGATGGAATCAAACTAAAAAGTTTCATCTCAGCAAAAGAAATAATCTGTGAGATGAACAGAGAGCCTACATCCTGGGAGCAAATTTTTATCCCTCACATATCAGAGCACTAATCCCTAGGATATGTAAAGAACTCAAAAAGCTAAGCACCAAAAAAACAAATGACCCAATCAATAAACGGGTCAAGGACCTGAACAGACACTTCTCAGAAGAGGATATACAATCAATCAACAAATATATGAAAAAATGATCATCATCTCTAGCAATCAGAGATGTAAATCAGATATTATCTCACTCCAGTCAGAATGGCAGTTATTATGAAGACAAACAACAATAAGTGTTGGTGAGGATGTAGCTGGTGAGACTACAAATTGGTACAGCCAATATGAAAGCAGTATGGAGATTCCTTGGAAATCTGGGAATGGAATAACCATTTGACCCAGCTATCCCTCTCCTTGGACTATACCCAAAGGACTTAAAAACAACATACTACAGGGACACAGCAGCACAATTCACAATAGCTAAACTGTGGAGCCAACCTAGATGCCCTTCAGTGGATGAATGGATTAAAAAAATGTGGCATATATA